AAGCATAGTTCCATGAGTCAATTAAATGAGCCATCAGGTAAATGCTATTATTTTATTTCTGAGACAAGTTTGTAGGTAGGGAGCATGATTTTTTTTGGAGCCCTGTGACTCATCTTACTAGATAATTCTAATTGAGATTATTTCCAAATAATCCAAGCAAGGAAATTGCAGACTTGATTTTGATTTTTCCTTAGTTAATTTTAACACATCTTTCTTTAGTTAATGTTTCTTATATATCCATTGTAATTGGGAAATACTATTTCCATCTTCAAATGTGCATAAAGGGAAGGGATACTTCACTTTGCTCACCAGGAAGGAAAAAGTACAAGAAGAACACCTCCTCAAGATGGGATTCACTTTTCCAATTGATAAGATCTGTAGAAAAACAGTATGCTCTATATAACTCTGCCCTCTGTTCTTCAAAGGTGCCAAAATTTTTCTCTTTTTTATGTGACAGGTTTACTGCGTTCAGTAGCTTAGGTTTTATTAAAAATTTCAATATAAAAGGAAGATAATGGAAATCCACAAACTTCAAATTAATGTTCCATCCTAATGTACAACGTTTTATCAGTAATAATGCTCATCTTTAATTTCCATCTATCTTATGCCTGGATCTTATTTTTGAACTTTGAAAGAAGCCCTAAAATCATAACACATCTCTCTTTTGTTGTGTAAAAACTTTGAGCAAACTGGGCTTGGTGGCTCAGGCTTTGGGAGGCTGAGGTGAGTGGATTGCATAAGCCCACAGGTTTGAGACCTACCTGGGCAGCGAGACCTCATCTCTACAATAAATAAAAAAATCAGCCAGGCGTGGTAGCACAGGCCTGTAATTCCGGCTACTTGGAAGGCTGAGGCGGAAGGATCGCCGGAGCCCAGCAGGTCGAGGCTGCGGTGGCCGGGAGCGGCCACTGCACTCCAGTCTGGGCGACAGAGTGAGACTCCAACTCAAAAACAAAAGAAAGTAATTGTTTAGTGGTGATCCTTTATAGTAGCATACATCTTCTTTTGACACAGACACTAAATCCTTGTCAGATATGTTACTATTTACCTGCCTTTCTTCACTGAGTGTGTTGGGGGTGGAGGGAATATTTTAAAACGTTGAGAATGTTTTCACAGATCTTATCTTACTCTGACTTAGCCACTTTTTTGCTTTTCTAGGTGTGGGAAGCTGCTGATGTATTGATCAAAGCTGCTCTTCCCCTGACAACAAGTGACACAAAGACTGTATCAGAGTGGATCAGTCAGATGGCCACCCTACCCCAGGCCTCCAATTTGGCTACTAGAATCTTGCTTTTAACGCTACTTTTTGAGGTAAGAGTTTGATCTTTTGGGCCTTTAATTAATTCATTGAAGAAGAACACCTACTTCAATGAATATAAGGCATTGAAGAAGAGACATGTAGGGCATGATCCCTGCATTTCATAAGCTCAGTTTCTAATAGGCAAAAATGTACATAATTAAATGCATATTGCAGCATTTTGTGCCAAGTGAATGGTGTCGACAATTTTATCTGAGTCTAGGAAGGGTATATACATACTTTCTGACTAATGTGAGAAGGGCTTCTCAGAGCAAGCATTAATTGAATTGCGTCCTGAAGTATTGTGTGGGATGGTAGTTTAAAAGAAGGATATTAAAATAGCTGTCATAACTTGGTCATGGAATATTTTTGCCTATCTGAGAAAATGTAACTGGCAGCCACATAGTGGAGAAGGTCATGAAAATTAGGCGTGATCAGTGTTGAGGGTGGTAGACATCAGATAGAATCATATTTCTCTCTCTTTTCCTTACCTCATCGCTCAGCAAATTATTTGAGGCAAGAGAGTGGTTTGGGTAAGACATGTTCTTGTTCCAGTCAACTTAGGAACTTTGGAAAAGTGACTCTTCATTTGTAATTCGTCATGTTTAATAGTAAAACTTGAACTTAATGGAGTAAATCTTTCACGTGCAACAACTCAGGATAAAGTCCAATATAAGTGTCAAACTGTTTACCTACTGTCTTGGGGCTTTCCTTCATGATGGTATTGATAACTCTTATAGTACCTTATAGTTAGATACTTGTGGGAAAGATTTCAAAGTCTGAATGCTGGGCATCTTCAGCAACATAATATAAAGAGAAAATCATTCATGGGCCTCCATCTAAAAAAATCACAAGTAACAGTTGTATTTTCTTCTAGTCCTCTTTCTATCCATTTAAACAATTGGGATAAGACTAAGGTTTTATGTTCTTTTCAGTTTTACATTATGACTATTTCCTGATGTCGTGTACACATTATTCCGTCTTTTTTATGTTCTCTAACTTATTTAAATAATTACCTGTTATTGGACATTTCCTTCCAGTGATGTCCTATCAAAAGTAACACCTTAAGCCGGGCTCGGTGGCTCAGCCTGTGATCCCATGCTTTGGGAGGCTGAGGTGAGTGAATTGACTGAGCCCGCGGGTTCGAGACCCGCCTGGGCAAGTTGGCGAGACCTCATCTCTACAATAAATCAAAAATTAGCTGGGCGTGGTAGCGCGCGCCTGTAGTTCCAGCTACTTGGAAGGCGGAGGCGGAAGGATTGCTGGCATTCAGCAGGTCAAGGCTTCCGTGGCCGGGAACGGCCACTGCACTCCAGTCTGGGCGACAGAGTGAGACTCCAACTCAAAAAATAAATAAATAAATAAAAGTAACACCTTAGTGTAGCCCCAGTAAGAGAAATCATTCACAGTGTTTAATTATTCCATTTTTTCTTAAACGATTATAAAGCTTCCTTACAACTTCAGCATAGTTAAGGCTGCATACCCTAGGTGACAGTTCCTGAAGATATTAACAACCATTTCTGTATTAAGCATATGTTAATATGTCAGGCACTGTGCTGTGCGCTTTATATATAAAATCTCAATTAACAATCACAGTTACTCTGAAGGTAGAAATTATTAATCCCTTTGACCCATGAGGAAACCAAAGCTTAGGAAATGTAAGTAACTCACCTCATATTACACTGCTGGTAAGTAGTAAGAGTTAGAATTTGAAGTCAACTGATTCTGTTTCTGTTCACCCCTATGTTCCCCTATACTGTGCTAATATTTAATACTGAGTAGAAGTTGATATCTGTTTTATTTTTTTTTTGATTAATCAATTAGGAGTTGAAGCTGCCTTGTGCTTGGGTGGTTGAATCGAGTGGCATCCTTAATGTCCTAATCAAACTCTTGGAAGTGGTTCAGCCCTGCCTCCAGGCCGCCAAGGAGCAAAAAGAGGTTCAGACCCCAAAGTGAGTGACCCCATATTTATCCTGGTTTCATTTCTGTTCCCTTGGGACTTGGACTCTTGAGCTTAGGGCCTGTATTAGGTACCTTTCTAGCCCATGTATGGGGCAAATCTTAGATACTTTTTGTGGTCTAAAAATTGTGGAAGTGCCTGATGAAATCAAGATATATTTCCCCAATTTGTACAGATTTCTGACTTACCCAGAAAAAAAAAAATTCCTCTTTTATAGGTGGATCACCCCAGTGTTGCTCCTGATTGATTTCTATGAAAAGACAGCGATCTCCTCAAAAAGGAGAGCCCAGATGACTAAGGTGTGTAATGTAGTGCATGTGATTGGCAGGATAATTTAGCTTCTTAAAGCAAGCGTAGACCAAAAAATAATGCGGGAGAGTAGTGAAGGATGTAAAGGTCTTTGACCAAAGTATAAATCTTTCGAGGATTCTTCCTAGCTGGGTTTCTCTTCTGAGTAGGGAGTTTAAAATATTTTCTTACAGAGCTGCCTGCTTAAGGCCCCAAGAACTTACCCTGGAAGTAAATGTTAAAGACGCATGCTATCTCTGGAGGACGAATGGCTCTCTTATTACATGAAGGACTCAGTATGCAGCAATCCTTCCAAAAGCAGATGTTGCTTAGATGAAGATTATTGTGTCACATTATCTTGGTATCTTCTTAGAAACAGAACTTTTGGTGTATCTCAAATGAACATTCCTTTTGGCGGGAAAACAAAAGGAAAGTAAAGGATAGCAAGACAGGAAGGTAGATGGCTTTTTGCCTAAGGAAAATGTTGTAGTCCATTTTGCTGTTGCTGTAACAGAATACCAGAGTGGGTAATTTATAAACTATAGAAGTTTATTTGACTCATGGTTCTAAAGGCTCGGAAATCCAAGATCCAAGGATTCCCTTTGGTGAGGATCTATGAGCTATATCATCCCATGACAGGGTAAAAAGGCAAGAGAGAAAGAGGGGGCCAAACTCATTATAACCAATCCACTCCCATGGACATTAATCCATTCATGAGGGCAGATTCCTCATGACCTTATCATCTTTTATTAGGCCCCACCTCCCAATGCTGTTAAATTGGGGATGAAGTTTTCAACACATGGACTTTGGAAGGACATATTTAAACCATAGCTATAAGAGAGGCTAAGGAATGTGAGAATAAATGTAATATGAAAACTTCTCTCTCAGTTTTCAAAAGTTATTAGATGTCTAGTATATTTGTTTTTATTTGGGTGAATTTTAGCAGTGAACACTAAGTTACTATTTCTTCCAAAAGTCAACTCTGAAGGAAATACAAAGAAACTTTGTGCTTTTATATTTAGTACCTACAATCCAACTGCAACAACTGGCGCTGGTTTGATGATCGCTCTGGGCGTTGGTGTAGTTACAGTGCAAGCAACAACAGCACTATTGATTCTGCCTGGAAATCTGGAGAGACAAGTGTGCGATTTACTGCTGGCCGAAGAAGATACACCGTCCAGTTTACTACAATGGTGCAGGTACGTGTTCACCCAGTGCTGCAAACGTGAAAAAGAGGAGAAGGTGCTGGATGTGTCTTTTGTTTTTCTTTCTGAACCAACATTCCTAATGTGTTACAAGCAACAAGATTACCGTTACTAAATTAACCATAGATTTGAGAGAACCAAGTCTTCCTAAGGTCAGTGGTTAGACCTTGGGTCTGTGACAGTTTGATACTGTCCCTCCAGGAAATTATTTTAAGTGTTCAGTCAGGGATTAAATGAGTGGTTAGGGATGGTGTCTACTCTATCGGACAGTTTACAGCTTATTATAGGACCTTGTATATGCCACTTTCTTCTGGAGACCTTTGGGATCTCTCTCTGTAAATGGTAAAGATGAGATAAATTGCTAGGGTCCCTTCATATTTGCACCATTTTACCTGGAAGGTGTCTCTTCCCTCCTTCACCTTTATAATTCCTTTTTGGCAGAGTTTTTTGGAGTTTGTTTTTGTTTTGTCTGCTTGAATTCCTAGGTTAATGAAGAGACAGGGAACCGGCGCCCTGTGATGCTGACTCTCCTCAGGGTACCACGGCTGAATAAAAACTCAAAAAACAGCAATGGACAGGAACTAGAGAAGACACTGGAAGAAAGCAAAGAAATGGATATCAAACGTAAAGAAAATAAAGGCAATGGTATGGACCTTAGCTCTGAATCTTTTAGAGTATTTTTTACCTAAAGTTAGTAGTGTGCCTTTATGGCTTAAGGTCTGACCAATTTCATTGTGAGTTATTTTCATTTTATCTGATTGCTTATTGAATTACAGATACATAGTCCTCCTCTATGACTTTTCATCTGGCCTTTTGTTGTGTTGTTGTTGTTTTTGTTTTTTGGGTTTTTTTTTTTTTTTTTTTTTGTATAGACGAGGTCTTGCTATATTGCCTAGGCTGGTCTCAAACTCCTGGGCCCAAACAATCCTCTTGCTTCCATCTCCCAAAATGCTGGGATTACAGGTGAGCCACCACACCCAATTTCATCTGGTCTTGAAATTAGTGTTTGGTGTTTCTCCTAATAGGACCCAACTGCTTGGCTGCTTACTTAGGAGGGAGAGGTGTGGAAAAAAATAAGTGTCTAGTTAAACTGTTTAAAACTCTCACTTTTCTATTTGTAGATACCCCCTTGGCCCTAGAGAGTACAAATACTGAAAAGGAGGCAAGCTTGGAAGAAACAAAGATTGGAGAGATCCTGATCCAGGGCCTGACAGAAGATATGGTGACTGTTTTAATCCGGGCCTGCGTGAGCATGCTAGGAGTCCCTGTGGACCCAGACACTTTGCATGCCACCCTTCGCCTCTGCCTGAGGCTCACCCGGGACCACAAATATGCCATGATGTTTGCAGAACTGAAGAGTACCCGCATGATCTTGAATTTGACCCAGAGCTCAGGCTTCAATGGGTTTACCCCCCTGGTCACCCTTCTTTTAAGACACATCATTGAAGACCCCTGTACCCTCCGTCATACCATGGAAAAGGTGAGTCTTTGGTATCAGATGCTGGTTTAGCTTTGCATCATACCTTTTTTCTCCTTGCTCTCAGAATAGGTAGACTTCTGATTCTTCCCTAGGGAATACAGCTAGATATACATATACTTTGCCCAGAAGATTTTTCCAACTCTGTCCAGAAGCTTACTTAAGCATGACATACAAAAATAGAACTAAAAGGTGCATTTACTGTTGTAATGTCTCTAATCTAAAAAGCCCTCTCTGGCTATCTAGGTTTCTTTAACCAAGCCAAAAATTGTTAGTAAGAAACTGGAGTGCCTTCACTCAAGAGCCTATTTTCAAAACTTTGAATTTTAGGGTATAAAAATATAGTAAAACTGTTTGAATGTTTGTGATCTACCAGACACTGATAGGCACTTGACAAATACCCATTGTATATATCAGAAAACAGGTTTATATGTTTTAGGGAATTTATAAAGTAGTGGAAAAAATGGCAAAGTAATTATAAAAAATAAAAACATATAAAGTATAAAAGCATTAAGAGAACAGTGAAGGGGTAGGGGGCAAACATTTTACTAGTGAGGCTTTTCCTCTTCAGTACTTTTAGAAAAATCGTTGTTCTCCTTTACATTCCTTGTCAGCAATCATATGACTGTTAGTAGACATTGCTTCCATTTTCCTCTCTTGGGACAGTATTTTCCACACTTAAAGTAGTGTTACAATATACAATTTTTGTGCCTAGCTTTGTTCAAATTTAAGATTGTTATTCTTAGAGATTTCTAGAAATTGGGTCAAAAGGTAGAAATATTTTTTAACTTGATTACCAAAAAGGTGGTACCAACTTATACATGTGAGTCTATATCTCAGATTTTTCAGACAGTTCTTCACTCAGCCTGTTTGATTTCACTTCACATGTGCCAAATCAAGAATGAGAACTGTAACAGACAGTATGTATGTAGTGATCCACATCAGGAGACAGCCAAGCAAGGAAGAAACACTGTATATATGGACTGAATTCTGACTTAAAAAACAAAAAACTTGAGAGGCCGGGCATAGTGGCTCATGCCTATAATCCCAGCACTTTGGGGGAGACCAAGGCGAGAGGACTGCTTGAGCCCAGGAGTTTGAGAACAACCTGGGCAACATAGTATGACTTCGTCTCTGTTAAAAAACAAAAGCCTAGCCAGGCTTGGTGGCTCAGCCTGTAATCCCGCGCCTTTGGGAGGCTGAGGTGAGTGGATTGCCTGAGCCCGCAGGTTCGAGACCCGCCTGGGCAGCGAGACCTCACCTTTACAATAAATCAAAACATCAGCTGGGCGTGGTAGCACATGCCTGTAATTCCGGCTACTCGGAAGGCTGAGGCAGAAAGATTGCTGGAGCCCAGCAGGTCGAGGCTGCGGTGGCCGGGAGCGGCCACTGCACTCCAGTCTGGGAGACAGAGTGAGACTCCAACTCAAAAAAACAAAAACAAAAACTTGAAATGCTTAAAAGTTTAAAATGCTAGGAGAAAACGTAGATCTTTGTTGGATGAGGGATAAACTTGCAAAGCTTTAAGTAAATTATAGTTGGGGGTGTGGGAAACAAAGGAACTTCAGTGGCAGTCTTAACATATCAAGTTGGCAAAATGTAAATGCTTGATAATATCCATTGCAGGTACTGGTGTGGAGAACCAGGCATGCTCTTACTTTTGGTAGGAGTGGAAATTGGTGCCGCCACATTGGAGGGCAATTTGGTACTGTCAGTTTAAGATATCCTTTGACCTAGAAATTCTATGGCTAAGAACTTATCTGATTACTAACGTCAAGTATGCCAAGATACATATACAAGATTTTCACTATGAAATTGCGTGTAATGTCAAGAAACTAGAGGTCTAATGTCCAGCAGTGAAGGACTGGATAGATTATGGCACATTATTTATAGTGAGATTAATTCTGTAATTTAAAAAATGAATATTATAATTACAGACAGGCAGGATACCGAAGTTATAATATTCTAAAGAGCATGACTGACGTGGTAGGAAAAATAGTAAGATAAAAATATTAAGATACCAAAAATATCTTGTAAGCATATAATTCATGAAGGAATGGATAATGGAAAATAGTTATCTTCTTCTTTCATGTGTCTTCTGTGATAAGTAACTATAGGAAGAGCAAAAGCATAGCTATATTTTCAAAGCCTTGTTATCAAAGCAAACCATCTGTAAATAATTTGATATCTCCTGTGGCTATTATCTGACTGATGGTTGACTTTGAGGTGTGAAGAAAATGTTTGTGTTTTTCACACTAAGTGGATATCAGTGCTACATGTTTTAAACCTTTCTTGTTTTAAATTGGGACAGCATTTGTTCATTCTTGTTTAAAATTAGGAGCTGGCACTTAAATGTAGAAGCCATGTGGGATCTATAGTGACACATCTCCCGATTTCTGTAAAGATCATATGTATTACAGTATAATAATTGATAGTTTTGAGATACGCCATAACTTTTTATACTTTTTTTAATCAAGAAGGGATGGGATGGGATTTAAAGACCAAATATATCTTTCTTCCAAAGCTGTCATCCACTGTTTTGAGGCAGAGCTTGGTTAGTATTTTAATCCTTGGTAAATCTTCTTTGATTGCAATTGTATTTTTGGAAAGTGGTGTATAATCAGCAGTTTCTCGCTATCTTTACTAGGTTGTTCGCTCAGCAGCTACAAGTGGAGCTGGTAGTACTACCTCTGGTGTTGTGTCTGGCAGCCTTGGCTCTCGGGAGATCAACTACATCCTTCGTGTACTGGGGCCAGCCGCATGCCGCAATCCAGACATATTCACAGAAGTGGCCAACTGCTGTATCCGCATCGCCCTTCCAGCCCCTCGAGGCTCAGGAACTGGTGAGTCACTTACTCCTGGCCTTGGAGATGTTGAAGTCTGTGTAACACCAGAGGTTTTTTTATGGGGATAACTGTAACTTTGAGACCCTCCTTAGGCAAGTGTTCAGACATTGGCTGCTTGATCATTTGGATTAATTTAGTAGGTACTTCAGTAGCTTCTCTAGGCCTTGCCCTGTTGTAATCCCTGCCAGAGATACCAAGGTCTCATTCAGTCTAGTCCCTTCAAAGAGTTCCTTTTGGTGGGGTAGTAGGGCTTACATACAGTTAATGGTTTCCAAATAGTGATAATTGAGGGTCAAAAGGACATGTGGATTCATGTATTCAGTGGGAAGTATATGTCATCTGTGTATCCTTGCCAATGATGTTTTACTTGTATTTAATTATGGGGAAACAATTAGATAAATGCAAATTGTGGGGTGTTTATAAGACAACTGGCCTAGGGTCTTCAAAAATGTTAATGTCATAAAAGAAAAAAATGCACAAGCGCCTCTTCCAGATAAAAGGAGACTAAAGTTAAATAACCGTCGCTAGCCTTGATTGGGTCCAGATAAAGGAAATTTGGAGAAATTTGAATACTATGTATTAGATAATATAATTGTATCTGTTAAAAGTTGTGAGTGGAACTAAAGTATTTTAGGAGCCTGTGTGCCTGACCCTGTGCTGCTCCTTTCTCATGTATGGTCCCATTTAATCCTCAAAATAACCTCATTTCAAGAGTGAGAAGATTGAGGTTTGTTGAAGTAAGAGAACTGGATTTCAAAACCAATTTCTGTAACTCAAAAGCCTGCTATAGTCAATCCTGTGGAATTTAGGGAAAGTAAAAACCAGATTTTCTGGTAGACTGCTTGAACATTGGTTGAAAATGACCTCTTGTCTCAAGCTTGTGTAGTACACAAACTTGATATAAATATTTCTTTAATAGTAACCAAGTTTAGGTACTGATTCACGATTGACTTATTTTTTCCTCTTTCTCACTTTGGTTCAGCTTCAGATGATGAATTTGAGAATCTTAGAATTAAAGGCCCTAATGCTGTACAGCTGGTGAAGACAACCCCTTTGAAGCCCTCACCTCTACCTGTCATTCCTGATACTATCAAGGAAGTGATTTATGATATGCTGAATGCTCTGGCTGCATACCATGCTCCAGAGGAAGGTATGTGGCTAGCCCACCTCAGGAGGTGTATCAGAGGGTATGTTACCCTGCCTGTGTCATTTCAACAAACTTACAGCTTAGTGAGCACTCACTATGTGTTCCCACTCTGGGGATCAAAATGAATAAGATTTATAGTGCATATCTCTGAGGAAGCTAATTGTCAATACACTATGACAGACACCAGGGTAGTGGTGAGTCCTAGGGCAAGGCACCTGACCTAGTGAGGGTGGGATAGGCAGAAAAATTTCTTAGAATAAGTGGTTTCTGAAATGAGCCTTGAATGATAAGGATGAGGAACTTGTCAGAGTTATGTTATATAAAGAATACAGACCATACAGAGGGAAGAATGAACAAAGATTTAAAAAGATACAAGAAGAAGAATGAACAAAGATTTAAAAAGATATAATAGCATTGTGTGAGGAGGTTGAAAATAAAATACCAGGGAGTCTCTAATGTTTTCATACTCAGAAACAAAACATTTTTATTGCCTGAATTTTCAACTGGACACTAATAGAAGGCATGTCTGTGCTTCCGGACTTTGAGACCACCATCCCAGTCCACCTTTATTTCTAGTTAAGGTGCTGCTTGTAAGCACTAGGAGCATCATGATTGAATTGCTTGGAACATGGTTCCATTCCAGTCAAATCCTTCTGGATTTTATTCAGGATATATTTATTTGATAGGTCCACAAAACTGCCAAAAATTAATTAATGCTGCCTTTAATAAGTAAAGAAAATTTGAGACTTTAGTTTTGTGCTCTTGATCCATACAGCAATCTGATCAATAGAGTTCCTTGATTCTCCTACCACACAGAATCTCCATCCCATCTCTTATCACCTCCTTCCCAAAATAGTTTAGCTATATAACTAGCTACCATTATTGATCTCCCATTTTGTGAGCCATAGTACCACATATTCATTTAAGCTTAGTAGTGACAGCTTAAGAAAGTGAGACTAAATTGCCTGTGGTCACAAGACTAGTTCATGTTAGTAATGTCACCATGTAAATAGTCATACCACTTGATATGAAATTGACCAAGCCTACTAGATAGGAATTGACATTGTACAATTATAGAAGAGTTTTGTTTTGTTTTTCTTGTTTGTTTTGTTCTTCTAGCAGACAAATCTGATCCTAAACCTGGGGGTATGACCCAAGAGGTTGGCCAGCTCCTACAAGACATGGGCGATGATGTATACCAGCAGTACCGGTCACTTACTCGTCAGAGCAGTGACTTTGATGCACAGTCAGGTTTTTCCATTAACGTAAGTCATTTCCAACAGCCTTCTGTCTTTCCGGTGTCCTTTCCAATGCCTGTGTGGTCTCATAATTTTAGGTTATGCTAGGAGAATTTTAAAGGTATTAATATTGATGTGTAAATTATCAGTTGACTAAAAATGAAGACAACGTTAGGGTATCCCTGGTTTGTTTAGGTTTTTTTTTTTTTCTTTTTGGTTTGGAAATATTTCCTTAATTCACTTTTCTTATTCTCCCTTTTCCTTTTCTCCTACTCTCCTAGTCACTGTTAAAATGGCAGCTTCCCAAAAATTTTAGTATAAAAGGGTATGGTGGTTAAAAGGTCAGCCAAAGAGAATCTGCAGCATCCCAAGCCAGTACCCTGGGAAGGAGTATTCTCATTTGGGGACAACTGACTTTGGCATTCATAATAGCTCAGGAATTTTCTTCTTCTACAGAGTCAGGTCTTTGCTGCAGATGGTGCCTCCACTGAGACTTCCACTTCTGGGACCTCCCAAGGAGAGGGTAATGGTTTGCTTTTCTCCCTCTCATGTTCTTATTCCTTGTTAAGACAACTTGAAGAAACTGTGGTTGTCCTGGGCGGAGGGTAGGAGAATATAAGCGTGATTTTTACATGTACTTATCTAAGTAAACTTTCTCAAGGATGAGCTCAGTATTCTGTAAATATAGGGTCTCTGTATGCTAAAGTTAATGGAACTATCATTTAACCAACCTAGTAATAGTTTCTATGGTAACATCCTTTATTTTTACTCTTTAAACCATCCCATATTTCCTTTAGGGTCGTCTATAAACTGGCTTATAGAGCTTTGGTGCCAGTGATGTTATTCTAGCTACATGCTTTACATGGTAGATTTCAGTCTTCCAGCAATGTCAACAGAGGCCTTTGCTACTCAAGATGAATTAGAGAAATCTTATGTGAAAGCAAGTCTAATGAGACCTTTCAAGAGCTCCTTCTCTTTAGATAGAAAAGATCTTTGCGCTCTAATTTAGGAGATATTTTGCTTAATATTATACTAGTCTCTGGAGATAGATCAAAAAAGGCTAATAATTAGTGAAATATTGGTTAACTCATTTTAGTGGGCTTACTGCCCATATGTAGTGTGGCTGATGGCGGTATTATTCAAGGGAAGCATCAGTGCCTGCTACATGGCAAACTGTATCAGACACTAAAATGAATCAGATTTGTTCCCTGCATTTAAAGAACTTTGTCTAGGGAGGGGGGTACCTGCGGGAGTTGTAATGCAAGGTAACTGCCAGAATGGAGCTGTGCTTGGATAAGATTTAGTGGGCACATAATATAATAGTGTCTCAATATGTCCAGATGAGATAGGAAAGCATTTATAGAGGAGGTCAGCATTTGAGCTGAACTAGATAGAAATGTGCCAGGCAGACATAAAGGAAGAAAAAGGTGAGAGATCAAGGCTTATTTGAAGAACTTTTTATTAGTAGAGTATTTCTGGAACATGTAAAAAGAAGGAAATGGAGGGAGATGCATGAACATTTGGGCAAAGCATCTCTGCTGTACTGTATTCACTTAACTACCTGGGACATCCTGGTTCTCTCTCCTTCCACTGCCTTTATTTTTCCAGTATTCCATTTTCCAGAATCGAACCAGCGTTTGTTTCTTTCTCAGCAGCTTCAACTCCAGAGGAGTCTCGAGATGGGAAGAAAGATAAAGAAGGGGACCGGGCCTCTGAGGAAGGCAAACAGAAAGGCAAGGGCAGCAAACCTTTAATGCCTACCTCCACTATACTTCGTCTTCTGGCAGAGTTGGTGAGGTCCTATGTTGGTATTGCTACCCTGATTGCCAACTACAGCTACACTGTGGGCCAGTCTGAGCTGATCAAAGAGGTAATATTTTCAACTCATAATTAAAATGTTATACTGTACTTCCATCATTTCATTTGAGTACTTACTGTATGTTGTATACTTTGCTAGGAAGCCATACATGCTAAGTGCTAACCCAAATGATGAGAAAGGGAGAAGCATCTTAAGACACATTAAAAAGCTAGGCCTTTTTCCCATTATGTGGAGCCATCAGACTCACTGCAGTGGAGTGAGTTGATGAGATTTGTTCTATTGAAAATTCTTTGGTCTGCACTTGTAGATTGGAAGAGGCAAGACAGGAGCCAGAGAGACCAGTAAGGAATCTGATGTAGTAATTAGTATAATGCTTGATCTTGGTGAAGTTGAGGGGAAATGAGGAGTTGAAAAGATGTTTTAAAGATAGAAATGGACAAGAATTGGGTTTGGAGAAGGAAATCAAGGACTCAAGGATGTTTCTTGATTTGTGTTTTTTTAATTCCTATTATGAGTGGGTATCTAATAAAAACAGAGGGGGAAAATGTTAGAGGAGAAAATATGGAATTGTGAAAAGTATCTGTGAGGCATCTAAGTAAAGGTATCTAAAGGACAATTGAATAAACCAAATAAGAATATAGGTGTTTATCATCTAGACGTACCCAAACATGTGCAGAGACTCCAGGTGTGGTAGCAGTACTGGTAATGAAAATAATAGGAAAATCCTTAAATGTCTATCAACAGAGCTATGGAAAAGAATGAAGTATCCTGATACAGAATTATCTTCAGGTTAGATTTTTTTTAGGTGAGTGGGCACATTGAGAAATTGTATCATGTTCCCGTGTATGTAATGTGGGTACTCAAAGATGTTTCTTCCATAAAAGTGGCCTTGTTTCGTGGGTTACATCATAATTTTATGGTTAGTAAGTGGCAAAGGGTTTGAGAGTGAATAGGAGCACCTAGTATGTGTTACAGATAGAGTATGGGAAAGCAGCTGCCATTTTAAAATTTATTTTTACTTTAATCCAAATTTAATATACATAAATACACAAATCGTAAGTAAACAGTCAATTGGTTTTCCTGGATAACCACCATCCAAGTTAAATTAAACATTGCAGGCTCCCCAGAAGCTACCCCCCCTGTGCCTCAGTGCAGCTCCCTCACCCCCTTCTCCCTCCCATAAGGTAACTGTTATCTTGAGTTCTATTGCCATAAGTTGCATCTTACAGTATGTACTCTTGTGTCTGGTTTCTTTTGCTTTAACATGCTTACAAGATTCATTTTTTCGTGTGCAGTTGTAGTTCGAATTCCATTATGTGAATGTACCATATACCAAAAAGAAACCAAATGTATCTTTTATCCATTCTACTGTTTGTAAACCTTTGGATAGTGTTCCGTTCAGAGCTATCACAAGCAGTACTGCTATGAACATTTTCGTATGTGTCTTTGTGAACATATAAAAGCACTTCTGTTGGGTGGTATAATCTGACAGTAGAATTGCTGAGTCTGTAGTTCAGCTTTAGCAGATAGTGCTAAAAGTTTTCCAGAGTGGTTGGGTCAATTTATATCATTACCAGTAGCATATGGGAGTTCTGATTGTTTCACCTCCTTGCCAACACTTGGTGTTTTTTCATTTTCCTATTTTAGTGGGTTTGTAGTGGTTTTGCACTATGGTTAAAATTTGCATTTCCTTGTTGACCATTTTTTCATGTCTTTATTGACCATTTGAATCTTCTCTTTTGGGAAGTGTCTATTCAAGTTCTTGTTTTCTGTTGAGTTCTTTAAATATCCTGGGCATAAATCCTTTGTGATGTATATATGTTAAATATATAAATTCGGTTTTATTTTGAAGCTTTTACTCATTATGCCAGTTGTATTCATAATTTTTGTAGTTTTATTTGTGGATTAAGACGTTTTATAAGTGTCCAGTGACCTTACTAGTAATGAGTACTGATAGATGCTTTACAAATACTCTTGATAATCTTCACATCTGTACTGCAAGGTTGTTGTTGGTGTAGTGCTCTCTTTAAGGCTCAGAGAGGTAACTAACTTGCCCAAGGCAATATTTCAGAGTAGCAGAGTTAAATTGGAACCCAGGGTTCTGATTCCGAAGCCAAGTTTTTTCTGCTCAGCTGCTTTCCCAAAGCATTTCGCAAAGCATTTTTCCAGTTTTCACTAATAATGTGAGATAACATTACTTATTTATACTTTTGTTTAGAAAACAGATTTAACTTTGTATTTTATTTATTAAATAATTTATTAAAATAAATATATTTGTTTTTTATAAATTAAAAAAATTATTACTATTTCTAATAGTTTTGTATTAAGGTCACTTTTTTCAATTTCCAAGACTAGAATTCTTTGATGCATTTTCTTTATTGAGGTAAAAGTCATATAAAATGAACCATTTTAAAGTGTGAGATTGAGTGGCATGTAGTGCATTTAGTGTTGTGCAACTGTCACCTCTATCTAGTTCCAAAGCGTTCAATGCAATTTTATTCAAAATCTGTTTGAATGATGACAGGACTTAAGTTTCTTTCTAAGATGAGAAATTATCAGTGCAGAAATCATAGTTAGAGAAAAAAGAAGAGTCTGAATTAATTTCCTTTTCTTGTTGGGCCTTTCTTGTTATTTTATATAACCCCACATTAAATATTTTTGTGCATAGCATATCCATATCTGTGACTGTACTGGCTGTCATTCATCTCTTGCCAGTTTCTAGCATAGGACCGTGGGCACATTTTAGGTGTCAGTAAATATTATAATTTAATTGAATATTGAAAGATTTATAGCTCTGAATTAGAAATCAAGGTTTGACTCCGTGGCCCTTGACTAAATTCTTTGGGCAAGACTTTTCTTTGGGCTTTCGATTACCTGCCTATCAGATGGGACAAATACCCCTGAGTATATTTTATAGATTTTCTATGTGTGGTTCTATTAAATATCACACGCAAAAATATTTTAAGATGGATGCAGTGGTGATGCCTGTAGTTTCAGCTACTTGGAAGGCTGTGGCAGGAAGGTTGCTTGAGACCAGGAGTTTGAGATTGCAGTGCACTATGATTGTACCTGTGAATAGCTACTGCACTGCAGCCTGGGCTCTTAAAAAAAGTTCTTTTAATAAAAGTAAAAAATTTTTAAATGTTTTTAGAAATGCCAAATGGCATCTACATGATGATTTGTAAGCTGTGTAGTGGGAACTGGATAGTATTTGTACATTCTATAGAATATGGGTTTGCTATTTACTCACTTATGTCTTTGAGCCTTGGTGGACCTGATAATAACTCACTGGGTGACTTAGGGAAAATTTGTACATGCACCTTTTTGCTGTGTAGATGAAATGTCATAATTGTGCTTGTGAGTAAATGTCACGATTCATGACTTTTCAGGACTGCAGTGTGCTAGCTTTTGTTCTGGACCACCTCCTCCCCCATACCCAGAATGCAGAAGACAAGGACACACCTGCCCTGGCCCGCCTGTTCCTTGCAAGTCTGGCTGCTGCAGGGAGTGGCACAGATGCCCAAGTGGCCCTAGTGAATGAAGTAAAAGCAGCCCTGGGACGGGCACTGGCTATGGCTGAGAGTACAGAGAAACATGCCAGGTAAAACCCAAGCATCATCCCCTTACTCTCTTCCTGGTCACATTGACTTCATGTACTCTGGTTCTCAAATAATTCTGGTACTTGAAAATACCCAGACCACTGATTAAATTTGGATGAATCAAGTAAACAAAGGGATATTTTCATTGTATTTCTACAAGCAAAAAAGTTGAGCAAGTTATCTAGTATTATTTTTTTAATTATGTTAAAGAAAATGAATGCTACCACCTAAGCAATAATGAGTTCTTACCTGTTTAGATGTTACTTCCAGATGGAAACACAAAAGGCATGGGAGGATTGATTATCTGGGACAAGTTAGTGAAGACTTAGCCTAAGAATGGGCTGTATTCACGTGACAGAGGTGTCAAACTTATTTCCCAGGCTTCAGGCAGTGATGTGTATCATCAGTACTATCATGGAGTCCTGCCCCTCCACCTCCAGCTTCTACAGCAGTGCCACGGCCAAGACCCAGCATAATGGCATGAACAACATCATTCGACTCTTCCTGAAGAAGGGACTGGTTAATGACCTGGCCAGAGTACCTCACAGCCTAGACTTGTCCAGGTAAAACCATGTCCCAACCCCAGGTTTTTGCTCTCTTTAGTCATGCTGCTTTCTTCTCCATTTGCTTAATGTGTTGTATAGCTGAATGATGCGGAGGCAGCTGTGGTATAGTAGGAAAACTTTGGGTATAGATGGGATACCCAAGTTCTTTGTACTGTGACTTTTAGCAAAGCATTTACCTTTCTGTGGGCCTTAGTTTTCTCATTTGCTGCAAGCTCAAGAGTTAGACTACTCCAGTGTTTGTTTTTTAAGCTTTCCCTCACTTTAATTCAAAATAGCCTTTTATTAGAAGATTATATATGTTTTATAAGAAATACAGATAGCAAAATAAGAAAATAAGACAGCACACTTAACCAGATACCACTTTTAACTTACTGACTATCTTTCAGTATTTTTCTTTGCATGCATAAATAGTGTATTTTTTACTAAAATGATATTACACTATTGTGTAATGGGAGGGATTGTTTGGATGTTTTTGTTTTTAGTTACTGGTCTCTACCTTGCTATATAAATAAATTTCATCCTACTTAATGCCTAATTCCATAATCAAACATTTTTGTCCAAACCAGAATCTAGTTGAGGATTTGCATTACATCTGATTGTCCTGAGTTTCTTACTCTAACACACATGCTTAATTGATTGTTTTAATCTTTATTTTGTTCTCACTGTTCACGACACTAACTTACTGAAATGACTAGGCCTGCTGTTCAACAGAAGGTTTTGCCTTCTGAATTGGTTCACTTGCTTCCTTATAGTGTACTTTACTTTCCATTATTTTCTGTAAACTTTTAGTTAGATCTAGAGGCTTGTTGGAGCAGTTTAAACATTTTCAGCTCTCACTCATAAGTGGACCTTGAACAACTACTGTAATACTGTAAGAAAAGAATTGACAGTAGCGGGAGACTATGGGGGGGGCGATTAATGGTAGTCAATATCTGTCCGGGGAAGGGGGGCCACACCTCATCAACAAGGGGACCTGCACAATGAATATTTGTATACCTAACCCTTAACTGTATCCCACAATTTTAAAATAAAAAAATATATATATAATTATAAAAAAACATTTTCAGCTAAAATGTGTATCTTAGGTGATGTACATCTCATATTATGGGGAATACATCTCTTTGAACCAGTCATTAGTAATTATGCTAAGGATGACCACCGGATTATAGTGATGATCATCACTGTATGATTTTATCTTCCTCCTCTTTATTAGTCTGTGTTGTTTGGCATTGTAGAGATATCTAGTTCCTTATCAACTATGTACCTAATTAATAGTCTCTAACAACATTTGATAATCCCTGCTTGCGTCAGTTCATTTCTTTGGGGATTATAAATGACAGCTTTCTAATTTCTTGATTTTTTTTCTACATTTAAAAAAAAATTTTAACCATTTGTATACCTAACCCTGATGTGGGGCACAATTCAGGGTTAGGTATACAAATGGTCATCATACAGGTAAAGTTTGGGTTTCACTGTGGTCCCCACTTCACCTTGTTTGAGATTAGGTACCCTTACTGATGAAATGTGTTTCTCTCCCTTCCCCCCTCCAGGCAGTTTCCCACTACTGCCAATCCCTTTCTTTTAGTATTAGGATAGTTGTTCAGGGTCTGCTTTTTTTCTACATTATTAACTGGCATTTTTCTGAGTTAATCCCAAAGGGAAAGACTGGTTATGCTGAAATACAGTTTCTACTAAAAAGGTAGAACAAAAACTTACACAAAGTCAAAAATATGTTTAATCACCACCTCATTTATATGTTTTCTCCTAGCTTTCTGTTTTCTAAATAGTATTATGGCTTTCTGAATTTTCATCGATTTTTAAACTGAGTGATTGAATTATTTGGATCACTGCAGTCATTTTTTTTTCATGCTCAAGTTATTACATCTTTGGCTTGTGGAACCCCTTCAAGCTGACTGCTTTGTCCTTTTGATACAAGCCATTCGGGTTTTTTAACTATTTAAATATGTCAAACTCACAATGTAATGAACACTATATATCTTACCTAAATTAACCAGTGGTATACATATTGCTCCATTTCCTTTATTCCCTCCCTTCCTCTCTTTTCAGGTGCTGAATTGTTTGAAATTAGTTGCAGACAACATGAAATGTAACCTCTAAATACTTCAGTATATGTCTCCTAAGAACAAACATCCTCTTACATGGCTAGAATTCCATTATCATATCCAAGAAACTTACCATCAATGTAATGATACTCAGTATATATTTAATATTCAGATACTCCATATATTTGCCAATTATAGCTTTAGGGACAGTGTTTTGATCCCGGATTCAGTAAGCATCATACATTACATTTGGTTGTCATATATCTCTTGTTTTTTATGACATTTGGCTATTTGATGAATCCAGGCTAGATGTCTTATAGACTGTCTCACAGTCTACATTTATGTAATTACTCCCTTATGGTTAGGGTAGAGTTAAACATTTTTGGCAAAAATACTACACTATATAGATGATACTTTCCCTTCTCACATCACATCAGGAAACACATAATTTGATCGCATAGGATATTGTCTGTTAGATTTCTACCTTGAAACTAATGTTATCTGTGAAGTGATTCTCTGAGACCATGTGAAAGTGGTGTGAATATTCCACACCCTGAAGATTTTTAACTCGGTATATTTTTACCTTCATTGATGATCCTTGTCTGGATCAGTTAACATTGCTGGTTACAAAGTGATGTTTTTCTGATTATCCTGTTATTTATCAGCTGGCATTCTTCTGTAATGAAGAACTCCTTTCTACTTTTGTATCCTTGCAGATCCAATTTTTATATATTCAGCATGTTATAATTTATTACAATCATTATTCTTTTAGTTACTCAAATTTTGGGTCTGTGGTAACTATCTCATTAATTTTTCCCATTAATTTTTGAAAGTCTTTTGGCACAATGAGATATCCCAGGCTCACTTTGTACCCTCTTTGCCTTGTATCTGGGATCAGTTGTTCTGATGAGTCTTGGTTCCTTTTAGTGTGAGATGGTATCAGAGACCACTGTCTGGGTTCTAAGGGGCGTGCATATATAAAACAGATAAAAGCTGGGCTTGCTCAGTGGCTCAGCCTGTAATCCCAGCACTTCGGGAGGGCAAGGCAAAGGAATTGCCTGAGCCCACGAGTTCAAGACCAGCCCGGGTAACTTGGCAAGACCTCGTCTCTACAATAAATCAAAAATTACCCAGGCATGGTAGCACACGCCTGTAATTCTGGCTACTTGGAAGGCTGAGGCGGAAGGATCGCCGGAGCCCAGCAGGTCAAGGCTGCGGTGGCTGGGAGCGGCCACTGCACTCCAGTCTGGGCGACAGAGTGAGACTCCAACTCAAAAAAAAAGCAAGCAAGAAAGAAACGGATAAAAACAGAGCCATTCTGGTTTTTGTGGGAGCCTACTTGGCCTCACACACTTTATGACATTTGCTTTTACTAACTCCTAGGAAGCCCTGCAGAGTATATTTTTAAATCCACGGAGCTTAAAACTTTGGTCATGTTCCAAAGCTTTTAAGATTGGGGGACTGAAGCTGGTGTTTTGTTTTATTTTGTTTTGTTTTAACAAAGCCTGGATGTGTCTGAGAAGTGACTTGTTACTTGCATGTAATCATCCACACATTCTGGCTTCCAGTCATGAATTTTTTCCTCACATGCTTACTACAGCCCCATGAACTATGGCATTGATTTAACCCTTGCTTTTGGGGTGGGTTCCTTGAAGACCTTTAAGTCTAACACTTTTTTCTTCTAAGCAATGAGCAGAATGTTGGTTCTGTGGCCTTGTGGCCCTTTGCCTCTTAGCTTCTGTTGTGGGAACCTTAGTGCCATTTAGAAAACACACCTAGTATTTCTGTGCTCAATCCATCTCTTTTTCTTTATTTCAGTCCCAATATGGCCAACACAGTCAATGCTGCTCTAAAGCCTTTGGAAACACTTTCCCGGATTGTGAACCAGCCCAGTAGCCTTTTTGGCAGCAAAAGTGCTTCTAACAAGAGCAAGTCTGAGCAGGATGCCCAAGGAGCCTCTCAGGACTCCAATAGCAACCAGCAGGACCCAGGTAGGGAATCAGAGCCAATGGACTGGAGAGCTGGAGGTGTGGGAATAGTTGCTTTACGGGCCTGGGATCACAACTGTTCTGGTATGGTATTGTTTCCCTGGGAACTTGCTGGCCTTCCAGAGATCTGTCATAGTTGTGTGGGAATCTGCCCCACAAATAATTCCTTCAGATTGTAGCCTTGTTTGGCTATCCTCACACGTAGCCTTGTCTTTTCCTTTGTCACCCATTCGTTTATTCTCTGAGAACTTGTAAACTTGCCCAAGGAAGGGCCTTATTGTCTGCGCTTGCCTCGTGGTGCCCAGCACATAGGCACCCTTTGATTATTTTGCTGGTTGGTTGATTGTTTCAGGCGAGCCTGGGGAAGCAGAAGTACAGGAGGAGGATCATGATGTCACTCAGACAGAGGTGGCAGATGGGGATATCATGGATGGGGAGGCTGAAACCGACTCAGTGGTGATTGCTGGGCAGCCTGAGGTGCTCAGTTCACAAGAGATGCAGGTAGGGAGGCAGATCACCCAGCATTTCCCTATTGTGGGACTAAACCAAACCCCCAGGTGGTGTGGGTGGGCGAGTACTTTAGATCCTTGCCTCAATGCTGTCTGTTTTGCAGAGGATCGTGGATGATATGCTTAGTAGATACTCAGTAAATGTGTTTGAATTGTATTAAAGGAGGGGTGGGGGTAGGGCCAGGATATTATGTACTATGAAATGGTATAGATCCAAACCAGAAAACTTAGGCACAGGTGAAATGTTGAAGCAGAAAGCTGGCCTGAGGCCTTTGGGCCCAGGGTCTTTTATTTACTTGGCTCTGTTCATTAATGGATGCTCCTTAACACCACATTATGCCTATAGCACCAGCTCTTGCTGGAGCATTAAAACAGCAGTCTTCTAAAGACCCTAAAGAAGGCATTGTAATTTCTGAAGCTGGTAACATTGATAAGAAATTGGGCCTGTGGTCCTAAGCTGCTGGCTCTAAGGAGATCTGCATGTCTTCCTGGACAGTATAAAGACTAACCTAATATCAGATAACTGGGATGGACCCTTTTGAAGGACAGTCTGAGTGTGGATTGGCAGCACGTGGTAGTTTCTGTGCTTTTAGCACCAAGTGTGTGGTTTTTTTGTAACATTCTCTGTCACATATTATCCTAGAAATGTATGCTCCCTTGCTGGCTTTTTTTTTAGGGTTTCAGTGCTAGCACAATGATAGACTTGTGTGTATCCATATATATGTTCTATTTCTCTCCAGGTTGAGAATGAGCTGGAGGACCTGATAGATGAGTTGCTTGAGAGGGATGGCGGATCTGGGAACAGTACAATTATAGGTGAGAGCCCCAGAACTGAGTATAGCCTCTTCCTTTGCCTCAGTCTCTCTTGGGAAGACCCTTTTTCTCATCATCTGCTTGCTCAGCTCTGCCTAAGGGCTCATAGCCAGCCTAGATTACTGCTTGTCTTGATGTTGACGGTCTTACAGATAAGAAATTCACAAGTCATCTGCAGGCCTGTGGCAGGTCTGAAGCGTTGCCTGTGTGGGGGAGGTGGCGGGGTGACCATCAGTGTAGATGATACATCAGGCACATCAAAAAAGTGTTTATTCATGGAGACCTAGAAGAGGCTGTAGGGTGAGAAAGTGCTTTCCTTTCAGTTCTTCAATGAACTCCAGGGGCTTTCCGCCTCTTAGTCTCAGGAGTATAAAAAGAGTGATCATTCCCTGAGGGTGGCCCTTTATAAATCTCGGAGGGAAAATGGCAAAGGTGCCCTACTGTCACCTGGCTTTGAGGGTGTATGTGTTACTTGTTTTTTATTTTATTGAGCAAGAAAAGCAAAGGATAATTGGAAGTAGACAGGAATTCTTAAGTTTTACAAAGCTTTTTCACACCCAGTATCCTCTGTGGTTTCACAATTAGTGGGATCAATCAGCAGAGCAGATGTGATCATCCCATTTTACAGATGAGGAAACTGAGACTCAGACAGGTAAAGTGACTGGCCAAGCTCACCTAGCTAGTTGACAGCAGAGAATCCAGGACTTCTCCCTCATCCATAAAAAGTGGATATCTGCTAGGTGTACATAGCTACTTTAGACGCACCCAATCTGGAAAGGGAAAGTCCTCTGTTGTTCAGTGAAGGCTCTGCTCTGTAACCTTCAGTGAGCAGAAGTGGAGAGGATGAATCACAAGAGGACGTGCTGATGGATGAAGCTCCTTCCAACCTCAGCCAAGCTTCCACCTTGCAGGCCAACCGAGAAGGTGAGAGTGCCGAGGCCAGAAAGGCCTCCCTTCTTGCCCTGCACGTCTGACAGACACTACACTAGGGTTTTCCTGGAGGCAGCTGCCCACATGTGCAGAATAAGGAAGCATCTGTCTGCATGCGCTGACATACACCATCCACTTTATCCTCAGCCAGTTTTTCAAATAACATTTTACTACTGCTTGCCCAAAATTTGTCACTTCTTACTTGGTTCGCTTTCTTCTCACCCACCTGCTATCATCGCTCCAGATTCCCTCTTACCAACAGGATGCAGTCAATAGCAAAGTAGGGCTGGAAAGGCAAGGGGGCACCAGCAGACTTGGCCAAGTCCTAGACCATGGCTCCTCAAGCACCACCCTATAGCCAGCCTCCACATTCAGCCACCCTGCTCAGCGTGTTGATGCATTGATTGGCACTCTCAGGAAATCAGGGCTGGCTCACTAAGTCTGTACATCACCCCAGATCTGGTTCTTCCTCTCCTAGAGTCAGATACCCCATCGCCTTTCCACTCAATCTGCTGGCCTGCACAGTAGCCTGTTTTCTAGCTACTCAGTATAGTCCTCCAATGTGCTCCCTTTGTTTTAGATTCCATGAATATCCTGGACCCTGAGGATGAGGAGGAGCACACTCAGGAAGAGGACAGCAGTGGCAGTAACGAGGATGAGGATGATAGTCAGGATGAAGAGGAGGAGGAGGAGGAAGATGAGGAAGATGATCAGGTGAGGGGGGACTGTGTTTGGGTTGGTTCAGATGACCTCTTCCATGGGAACACAGAGCTGCAGAAAACCAACAGTCTGGGTTGCTAGCCTCAGCGCCTCCCTCCCTCATGTGCAAATGTGGCCATGACACCAGGCTTCAGAAAACCCTTACCTCCAGCAATTCTCCGTCTCCTATTTTCCCTTAAGGAGGATGATGAAGGTGAAGAGGGAGATGAAGACGATGACGACGATGGCTCTGAAATGGAATTGGATGAGGATTACCCTGATATGAACGCTTCTCCCTTGGTCCGATTTGAGCGCTTTGACCGGGAGGATGATCTCATCATTGAGTTTGACAACATGTTCTCCAGTGCTAGTAAGATACAGGGGCTCAGCTGGGTTTTATCTCTTGATTCTTATACCCTTCCCTAGGGTAAGCCAAGCAGTGGACCAAATCAATCTGATACGGACAGCACTTCTTTTCCTATGCTGACTTCTGGGGCAAGGGATATCTGAATCCATCTCTCTCAGTAGTGTACACTTAGAAGAAGGAATAGCAAGAGGTTGCTTTTGTTCCCTGCACCTCAGTAAACAGGCAGCCATTTTAAAACCTGGACAAGTCGATTTGCTTGATTAAAAAAATACGAAACCAAGGTTGACTGCATCAGACACCCATGTGCACACTACAGTGAAAGGGCAATCAATAATCTTATGTAACACTGGATCTTGAGGGTTTGGATGGACACCTTTGAGCTTGGCCTTGGGGAGTGGATTTGAACATATTCACTCTATTCATCAAGGATGCATCTTTTCAGGGGAGAAAGTGAATCTCTTCCCTCCTTTCCCATCAACAACATAGTTCCCTTTGAGCAGCAAGTTAAAGTTGAGTTCTTAGAATCAAGCTGTCTTGATAGGGTAGTTCTTGACCTCAAACCACAAGCATGATATGGCAGAAAACACTGAACTGTTCTGGTCTGTTGTCTTGGCCAAGCAATCTCTTACCTCTTTGAGCCTCAGTTTGTCACCTGTAAATGGAAATTTTGAAAAGAAAAATAAATGGGTTGGACTAGATAATTTCAAGATAGCATTTATGATGCTCTTTGCATTTTTGTGATTTTCATCAGTCTTCCTTATAGTTGAGTTTCTGTCCATTCAGCAAGCTGAGCAATATTTGAGGAGTGCCTAATGTGTCCTAGGTACTAGGGATACAACAGTAAGGAAGAAGAAAGTCCTCGTTCTTCATATGAACTATTCCTATGGTCTATTAGGAATTAAAAGTAAGCAGACATTACATTGCAGCATGGTAAGAAAGCACAGAGTAGAGGGCTATCTGACCCAAACTGTAGAAGTTAGGCTTCACAGAGGAAGTGATATCTTAGGCCAAGAACAAAAGAGCAGGTGAAAGGGGGGAGAGGAGTCTTCAAGGAACAACTTGTGTCTGAGGGGCCTGAATGCATCACTGTGACTGTAATGTGGAGAATGGATTGGGAGAAGATGCTATCTAGGAGCCTGTTGAAGTATCTAGGTGAGAGATGATGGCATAAGCTATGGTAGTGTCAGTGATTGTAGATTAGGTGTGGGAATGAGGGAGAAAGGACAAAGCTCAGGTTTCCGTGTGAGGAAGTAAGGCCCAGGAGACATTGTTCTGCTTGAGCAACCATGGAAGAAATTACTTTTTGGCACTGACCCCTTTGCATATTGTCCTTGCAGCAGACATCCCCCCATCCCCAGGAAATATCCCTACCACCCACCCACTGATGGTACGCCATGCAGACCACAGTTCTCTGACATTGGGCAGTGGCTCTTCCACAACTCGACTCACCCAGGGAATCGGGCGCAGTCAGAGGACCCTAAGGCAGCTGACAGCCAATACAGGCCACACCATTCATGTTCACTACCCTGGGAATCGCCAGCCCAATCCTCCTCTTATACTCCAGAGGTGAGTTACAAAGATCTGTTGGGTTAACCGAAGTTCTTGTAAGAATCTTCACTGTGCTTCAGCATTGTCTTACCCTTGGAGAAAACAGTTTATCACTTAATGCTCTTGTCACACACACAAACAAGACAGCTGTCCCATTTGTTTGTGGGTTATATATGCAGTCTTTTGGGGAATGCCAAATTATATTGATGTGTTCTTTTGCCTAAAAGTCCTGTGTATACATTCAACAAATTATTAACTGTCTCATATGCCAAGCACGTAACACTTAGACAGGACAAGATCCCTGCCCCTCAGCTTAGAGTATAGTGTGAGAAGCAATTTTAAAACATGAAAAAAAAGGATATAAGTTATAATGGTCAGTGTACAGACTACAGAGGGAGTATGGTGGAGGCAGTATAACCAAACACAGTGCCTGGCGTGTGGAAGCCTATTAGTAACTCTTGTGCCAAGAACTATAGAATAATATGCAGTCTCAGTCCAAATAAATTCTCAAACCAGTGTGATATTCAGAAAAGTAACTGAGACTTATGTACAACATGATAATGCATTTAATACAGGAAACAGAAAGAGGATCTCACAGTAATAAGTTGCAGGATGCCTGTGGACTTACCATGATCAGAGTACTTCCCTACCACTTTACAGATTGCTTGGTCCCTCAGCTGCTGCTGACATCCTTCAGCTGAGCAGCAGCCTTCCTCTACAAAGCCGAGGTCGGGCCCGCCTCCTGGTGGGCAATGATGACGTCCACATCATTGCCCGGTCTGACGATGAACTGCTAGATGACTTTTTCCATGACCAGAGCACAGCCACCAGCCAAGCAGGCAAGTTTGTGTGATGAAAAGGAAAGTTGAGTTGAGTTCTCCTTTTTCCCTGCCGAGGAAAGCAGAACAGTGTCTACTCTGAAGAAAAACCTCCTTATTTTGGAGCCAGAACCACTCAATGACTTAGCCATGGAAAATAAAAACTATATTATCTTTAGGTACTTGTTACATGCTAAATGCTGTGACAGGCCTTCAGTCCTGTTCAGAGAAATACTGCCTTTTTGGGATCAATTGATACATGACAGGGCCAAGAATTTCACTCCCATTTGTTCCCCCTAACAGGAACCCTATCCAGCATCCCCACAGCCCTGACCCGCTGGACAGAGGAATGCAAAGTTCTTGATGCTGAGAGCATGCATGACTGTGTTTCAGGTATGTGGCAGCTTGCTTTCCAGGGTAGTTGTGAGTCTTACAGGGCTAGGACAGGTACATGGAGAGTTGTTTCCCTGGTTCTCCATGGCCACAAGCTCTGCCTCTTGGCTTCCTCTCTGACCCTACCAGAGCAGCCTCTGATCCTTTGCCTCTTTGATACAGTGGTTAAAGTCCCCATTGTTAATCATCTGGAATTCCTGAGGGATGAGGAGCTAGAAGAAAGGCGTGAGAAACGCAGGAAACAACTGGCTGAGGAAGAAACAAAAATAACTGACAAAGGCAAAGAAGATAAGGAGAACAGGGATCAGAGTGCACAGGTGATTTCCACGGCCCGGGAGAATTCATCTTCAGCTGTATAAGGTTACTGACATGATTTTGGTTTAGAAGGAAACTACCTGCTTTTTTCTGAAACATCAGAGAGTATAGTTTTCAACATATTTGAGTATGGTTTCAGTATAGTTTTCAGTATAGCTCAGAGAGTATAGTTTTCAGTACGTTTGAGTAAAAACTGATAGTAATATAAAGAAATTGTAAGACTTCAGTGAAAGACTTTAGTATAACCCACTCAGCAGATAGGTTATCAGGTTAAAAATAAGGGTATCGAAGTGTTCCATTATAATCATAAGCTTGATCTAACAAATATCTCTACACAGAACTTTTAACCTAATAGAGTAACATTGTTTCAAACACGTAATAAAGGATGGAAAGTGAGCATGGCATGTGTCTGGAAAAGCTAGAGTGGACAAAAGGGAAAAAATACATAGATGAAACTAGGAAGTTCTTGCCCATCCCACTATTGTGCCCAGCCCTAAGGTGGTTTTTGTCCTTCATGTTCAGTCCCCCCATCCCCACAGTTTCTGCCTCACCCCCAAGCCATTCTTAAACATAAGTATGTATAGGGAAGTTGTACATATATCTGTACAGTAAAATGATAACCTTCCTTTGGTCACATAGCCAAAGCATTTTCCATCTGGTCACTGAATTCCTAAGATGATCTAGGTACAAGATAGTGGCTATTACAATTGAACTGTATCTTAATAATTGCGGAATTCCACATTGTTCTGTCCCTTCTCTTTGCAGTGTACTGCATCTAAGACAAATGACTCCACTGAACAGAACCTCTCAGGTAACTCTCCTTCCCTTTCCCTCTTCCTAATTGATCAATTGCTTCTTTCTCCTGACCCTTCCAATTAGGTGGCCCACATGGGCAGAAGATGGACGCTGGTGCTCTGTGGGATGAGGTAGTAGATTGTATAGTTTTAGGGTCATACCCCATCTTGGAGATAACTATACAGTCTACTGTCTTTCCCACGGTGGTACACTTTCACTTCGACTGGCTCTGTTCAGGTTCTTGTTCTGGTTATTCTGCACTTGGTTCTGGCATGAGTAATGAGGTCATGTGTCCTGTTCCTTTCTTGATTGTAGCTCTGTCCTCTGAAGCTGAGCGTGTACATCTTTGTAGTAGTTGATTCTTTGGTGACCACAGTGTGGTACTTCATGGGAACAATTGGTAACTGGTTCTTAAATGACAGTTCTCTGTGGAAATGAACAAAATGAGGGAGCTTTAATGTGTTTTTCATAAAGCCGAATTTATTCCACTTAAAGGACTGTCTTTTTTATTTAGAAATTATGTTCTTCCTAATTCTTTAGTATCAAAATATTCTCTTTTTTTTTTTTGAGTCGGAGTCTCTGTTGCCCAGACTGGAGTGCAGTGGCCGCTCCCGGCCACCGCAGCCTCGACCTGCTGGGCTCCGGCGATCCTTCTGCCTCAACCTTCCGTGTAGCTGGAACTACAGGCGCGCACTACCACGCCCGGCTAATTTTTTGATTTATTATAGAGATGAGGTCTCGCCAAGTTGCCCAGGCGGGTCTCGAACCCGCAGGCTCAGGCAGTCCGCTCACCTCAGCCTCCCAAGGTGCGGGATTACAGGCTGAGCCACCAAACCCAGCTACAATATTCTTATTTAATGATGTTGGCTGAAGTTTTTTTCTTCATGGCTAAACTAAAAGTTGGTTGGTAACCCCTACATTAGTCTATTTTATATTCTTTTTTTAATCTAAATTCCATTGGTCAATGGAATCTAAAAGTCTAGAAACATTGTCTTGGGCAGTCTGCTTTTATGGAAGGTAGCTCTGTCTACCATATGCTTCGTATCCCTTATAACCTTCTTAACAATAGTTAGTAGCCATTTTTTGATTCTAGCAAACTGATCCATGTGATATATGTCTCCCCCACCCCTGTTTCCTCAGAACTTTCTTCTGCTTCCCTATACCTTCTGTCATCTTTGGCACTTAAGCTGGAAAATGGTTGTCTCAAAGCCTACGCAATTTATTTTTTAAAGCAGTGAAGGAGGGTAGATGTCCTGGTGCCCTAGTATCTAGCAAAAGATCTTTGAAAGGGTCTGGTATCAGGTAAAATGGCTTTTTGCCTGCTGTCCTTACTAGAGGATTCTGCTCATGCCGGGGTGAGGTAGTAAGTTGTATTGTTGTGGGGTAGGGATATTAGGCCCCAATTAGAAGATAACTATACAACTTACTACTTTCCCTGGTATGTGGCATATTCGCATTTTGTCTTGGCAGTGTTACCTTTGTCAAAGTTGTTGATGTTACTTGGATAATCAGGACTGACTGAAAGAAAAGAGAGGTGGAAGGGGACAGATGATATTTAGGGTGAGGCAGATTTTACTATAAACTGACTTGTCCTTCATTGATCAGAGCATATAATTGATTATTTTACCTTACCTTTGGGTATAAGCCGAAACATTTTCTTCAACCATATGATGACTGTATTTACTTGGTAATAGAACAAGAATGTGCAGAAAGAAATGGAGTACATGCTTTAAGAATTTTGAATGAAATTCTAACCGTTTCTTACTCCATATAGGTGAGGGAGTAGGAATATCAATAGACTTGGTAGGTAGACTTTCTGCATATCTGCAGAGACATTTAGCCTCACCCTATCTGTGTGACCTGAAATCTTCCCCTTCCACCTGCTGCACAAAAAGGATTTTATTCTTAGAGAATTTATTCACAAAGTCAGAGTCTTAGCCCTCATCCTGGGTATACCAGATCAGAACTGTTCCTTCAATTGGTTGAGGGTGGGGAGACCTGCATTACTGTCCAAGTGGTATACTTGTCAAGCCAAATATGCTAATTGGAGTGGCTCCCCTGCTCATTGACTGATTATCCCTTAACCCTCATTATTGTTCTTTTCGAGAAAGATGGGACGCCTATGCCTGACAGCTATCCAACAACCCCATCTTCAACTGATGCAGCTACATCTGAGTCCAAGGAGACCCTTGGCACGCTGCAACCCTCACAACAGCAACCAACACTCCCACCCCCACCAGCCTTGGGAGAGATTCCTCAGGAGGTGCAGTCCCCAGCTGGAGAAGGGGGGAGCTCTACACAATTATTGATGCCTGTAGAGCCAGAGGAATTGGGTCCCACAAGACCAAGTGGAGAAGCAGAAACAACTCAGATGGAATTATCCCCAGCTCCCACCATAAGTGAGTAGAATTTCAGCATTTTGGGGGAATAGAACAAGAAGAAAGAATGGATGTCTTTGTACTTTCTCTTTGCTCTCTTGCTTGAAAGAAATATGAGCTCAAGGCCTCAAATAGTAGAATCTCAGCTTGAACATTAACTTTCTTAGGTGAAGTTGAGGTCCTCCTGTTAAGTGTCTGTTTGACTTTAAAGCTTATTCTCCTTCCACAGTTTCTGGGATGGCAAGCATGTCACCCCACACTTACAGCTCTCATTCTCCTGGCAGATACTATTTATCTCATGACACTATTCCCTACTGGTTTGAAATGAGGCCTTAGAATTCTTCTTAGCACAGTTTTCCAACAAAATAAATTGAAATTTGCTTGCCATCCTTGCTACCATGCTGCTTGTGAAGTTGTCTGAAGAGACCTTTATGTGTCTGGGGTCTTTCCTTCAAGGATCTTATTTATTTGGATAACCAGATAGTGTACACATGTAAATGGTGCCTGTGGAGAATCTGAAAGTGAAGATTCTTTGCCAGGGTTGGCTAGGGAAGATGCTTCACAGTCATGCCTAGGACACAGTCAGTGTTCAACAATTGATAAAAAGGGCTTAAGCTGAGACATAAAAAGCTGGTGAGGTGGAGGGGGCGCAACAGCAGACCAGCAGAAGAGGAATGAGACGTCTAAGCTGACTGCTCCTAACTAAGCAACCCCATCAAAGACCTTGTCTATCAAGTTGCCCTGATTCCAGGCAGAAATCTAACCTCTCTCTATGACTTCCTTCTAGCCTCTCTTTCCCCAGAGAGAGCTGAGGATTCTGATGCGCTGACAGCTGTCAGCAGTCAGCTGGAAGGCTCTCCTATGGACACCAGCAGCCTAGCTTCCTGTACCTTAGAGGAGGCTGTGGGTGACACTGCAGCAGCTGGCAGTTCTGAGCAGCCCACAGCAGGCAATTCCACTCCTGGGGATGCCCCACCAGCTGTGGCAGAAGTACAAGGCAGGAGTGATGGATCGGGGGAGTCTGCCCAGCCTCCTGAAGACAGGTAAGCACTGTGTGGTCAAGAGAAGGGTAGGATGTGTTGGAGGGTATTTCAAACCACATTCATGCTTATTAACTAATGGACATGCTTGCTATGCTGGGGAGATAAACTTGGTTTCTATGAGAAGGGATTATTAAGTTTTATAAATGGGAAGGCGTGATACAGAGAACAACCTGAACATGATTTCCCTCAGCTCTCCCCCTGCATCCTCTGAGAGTTCTTCCACCAGAGATTCTGCCGTGGCTATTTCTGGAGCAGATTCCCGAGGAATCCTAGAAGAGCCACTGCCTTCAACAAGCAGTGAAGAAGAAGATCCCCTTGCAGGTGAGCTCCATGAGTGTTCAGGTCATCCTGGGGTGGTTTTGTTTCTAGCAGCCCTTGGTATGGAAATGCCCAACAGTTCCGTCCAGATGGAGGGCATGTATGTGGGAGGACTGGCAATAAGGGAGTGCTGCTGGAATGAGACCAGCCATGGGAGTGAAACTGATCCTAGCTCATTTAAGTTCTCCCACTCTGCCACTTCCTACCTTTACAACATGGGACCATTATTTAATCCTTTGCATTCGAATGTCCCCTCTGAGGGGACATCATAAATCTAGCATATCACTTGGATGCCCCTCTCAGGGGACATAAAGAGATTGCTAGTGACTATACAGGACAGATTTATGCCAATGTGTATGTTTCCTTGAAGTTTTTCATTCAAATTGCACAAAAAAAACCAAAGAGAAATATATACTGAGATACACATTTTTTAAAAATCAGCTTGTGTTACGTAGAAAGAGAATGTGTGAATGCTTTTACAGTGGTGCACAAACTGGATGATAAATTACATATTACTAATGTGGGAGGAAGAAAACAAGACTGCATTGTCTGCTCAAATAGAAAAACACCAGGTGGAAGATGTCCAACAAGTTACTATTGCACAACATGTCTCAACCTGCAATGCCTGTTGGTATATGTTACTACATGTTTAAAAAAAAAAGCCGGGCTCGGTGGCTCAGCCTGTAATCCCGCGCTTTGGGAGGCTGTGGTGAGTGGATTGCCTGAGCCTGTGGGTTCGAGACCCGCCTGGGCAACTTGGCGAGACCTCATCACTACAATAAATCAAAAATTAGCCGAGTGTGGTAGTGCGCACCTGTAGTTCCAGCTACTTGGAAGGCTGAGGCGAAAGGATCCCCGGAGCCCAATAGGTCAAGGCTGCGGTGGCCGGGAGCAGCCACTGCACTCCAGTCTGGGTGACAGAGTGAGACTCCAACTCAAAAAAAAAGAAAAATTTTTGATTTTTTTTGGTCATAAATAAGTTCCTCGCTGTCCAAAATTCCTTTATAAGCCAAATATTACTCCAGTAAAATAATTGGTTCCAACACTATGCTATTTAATATGAAGTGATTCGTTTTTTACTGTCTCATTAAAAAAAAAAAATTCAGTTGAGTTGCTGGTAGGGGATCCACAAGATGTCTCCGAGTGCAAAGGGTTAAGTTCTCTGATCCTCATTGATGCTGTGAGGGGATGATACCCACATAGTGGGTTCTTTATAAAAGTTAAGTGGCAGTGTATGCAGTCTGACGCATGCCAAGAGCTATTCTGAGCCCATGGAAGGTGGGTAGGCTTCCTCTGTGTGTCCCATTTCCTTTGCATTGCAATGAAGGCATACAGAGCTGGTTTGTGTGCCCTTAAGCAGTGACATAAGTTTCTTTTCTTCAAATACATCTTGGGCATCAGTAAAGGTGTGAGTCCCTTCGCATCTTGCATCTCCCTACAGGTATCAGTCTCCCTGAAGGCGTGGACCCTTCTTTTCTGGCTGCCCTGCCTGATGACATCCGTCGGGAAGTCCTGCAGAACCAACTGGGCATTCGTCCACCAACCCGGACTGCCCCCTCCACTAATAGCTCAGCTCCTGCAGTAGTGGGAAATCCTGGTGTGACTGAAGTGAGCCCTGAATTCCTGGCCGCCCTGCCTCCAGCCATTCAGGAGGAAGTATGTGAGCAGAAAGATTGGTGGGCCAGGCTGCCTGGCAGGAGATATGCCCCTATTGACTTTTTCTGCTCCATAGGTGCTGGCACAGCAGAGAGCTGAGCAGCAACGACGAGAACTTGCACAGAATGCCAGCTCAGACACCCCCATGGACCCTGTGACCTTCATCCAGACTCTACCCTCAGACTTGCGCCGTAGTGTCCTAGAGGACATGGAGGACAGTGTGTTGGCTGTGATGCCACCTGACATCGCAGCTGAGGCTCAAGCTCTGAGACGAGAGCAGGAAGCCCGGCAGCGGCAGCTTATGCATGAGCGTCTGTTTGGGCACAGCAGCACCTCCGCACTCTCTGCTATTCTCCGAAGCCCGGGTACAGAGGGAGGCAAGTGGGAGGGCTCTGGAATGGCTACCTTCAGCTAGTTGAGGCTCTGTTTGTTCTTGGATCCCTCCCCAATTTCAATTTTCTTTTTTTTTTTTTTTTCCAGCTTTCACCAGTCGCCTGAGTGGCAACCGTGGGGTACAATACACTCGCCTTGCTGTGCAGAGAGGTGGCACCTTCCAGATGGGGGGTAGCAGCAGCCATAATAGGTACCTTTGTCTGTCTTTTTTTTGCCATACCACCATTCAAGTCTGTTATTCCAACTCCCTTAATTTTATAGGTGAAGAAGCTGAAATCCTGAGAGGCAGGATGGATGACCTCTCTAGGCCATTTCCTTGAATGAGTGGGAGAGCTAGATCTTTGGACTTCCCCTTCAAAAAGCCACACGTTTTGGTTAGTCAAGCTGTTGGAAACCATAATCACAAAGGCAGGCTGCAGCAGGCACTAGCTATGGTTTTAACAATAAGGAAAGCCACGTGTCTCCCATGCAGGTAGAAAAACAACAGACCACTTGCCTTGAGATTGTAGCATCTAGACTGGGAGAATAGAGAAGGGTTAGAATTTTTGTTTGTCTTTGTTTGAGTTTGGATCTTACTCTGTCACCCAGGCTGGCACGCAGTGGCACAGTCATTGGCTCACTGTAACCTCAGCCTCCTGAGTAGCTGGGACTACAGACACATACCACTACATCCAACTAATTTTCTTATTTTATAGAGAGGAGGTCTCACTATGTTACCTAGCCTGGTCTCGAACTCCTGAGCTCAAGCAGTCCTCTTTCCTCGGCCTCCCAAAGTGCTGGGGTTTGTAGGCATGAGCCACCATGCCCAGCTACGAGTTAGTTATTAACAAGGCTAAAGTAGAGTGAACCCAACATGCCAAGATGGGGGGGGATTGTTCAAATAAGGCAGGCAAACCCCTGGTAGTCTAGAAAAAGCAAAAATCAGCATTGTTTCCTAGACCTTAGGTGCAATCAGATTTTACCAATTAATGGATAATACAGACCTGGGCTAGATTCTCTGCTGTCTTCTCTATCGTCATGTGATATAGGGTCAATCACTTAACCTGTTTGAGCCTCTTGTTCATCATCTCAAAAATCAGTAATTATCTCGGTTGTTCAGCAGTCCTCTTAGGCAGATATTAAATCATTGTAAAGTGCCTGGTACATAGTAGACACTCAAGAGGGTAGCTGTTACTTTGAAGAGTCCTTGAACTGGATACCCTCCCTTCTTGAGCCTCTTTGGAGGTATGCAGCTCATCCCCCTTCCCTAAGCTTATGCCTAACCCCAGAATTCTAGCTGCTTAAATATTACCCAAAAACCATGCTCTGTTTCCAGACCTTCTGGCAGTAACGTAGATACTCTCCTCCGCCTCCGAGGACGGCTCCTTCTAGACCATGAAGCTCTGTCTTGTCTCCTGGTCCTACTTTTTGTGGATGAGCCAAAGCTCAATACTAGCCGTCTACACCGAGTACTGAGAAATCTCTGCTACCATGCCCAGACCCGCCACTGGGTCATCCGCAGCCTGCTCTCCATCTTGCAGCGCAGCAGTGAGAGTGAGCTATGCATTGAAACACCCAAGCTCACTGCTGGTGAGGAAAAGGGCAAAAAGTCAAGCAAGAGCTGTGGGTCAAGCAGCCATGAGAACCGTCCCCTGGACCTGCTACACAAGATGGAGTCTAAGAGCTCCAACCAGCTTTCCTGGCTCTCAGTGTCCATGGATGCAGCCCTAGGCTGCAGGACTAATATATTTCAGATCCAGCGTTCAGGGGGACGCAAACATACTGAGAAGCATGCAAGCAGTGGCTCTACTGTCCACATCCACCCCCAGGCTGCTCCTGTTGTCTGCAGACACGTTTTGGACACACTCATTCAATTGGCCAAGGTGAGGGGCTTGAAAGAACCCAACTCCCAACTCCTGGGGATGGAAGATGGGTGGCAGCAACAGCTTGGGTGAAATCTGAACATGAGGGGGGGCTAATAGGTTTTTCTCTTTGCTGTTATTTTGAGTGCTAAACCCTGTATTATTTCTATGAAAACTGTCCAATAAATAAATTTGTGGGATTTTTATCTTCACTGTTTACAGTATTATGCGTTGTCTTATTCAGTCATCAAAACAACTGCCTGTGGTCTGTATGATTCCTGTTTTACAGATGAAGAAGCTGGAATTCAGACCATTTTTGTGGACTAGGAAGTGATGGAGCTGGACCTAGAATTTTTAGTTCTGATTC